CAACATCAATAGCGTTATGAGCATCACCATGACCACCATCCACAGCTAAATGGTTTTCCAAGTTCATGTCCCCATTATCCACCAAACTAGGCACCGGTAAAAGAGGAAAGAACAAATGCGACGGAGCATCCAATTTTTCTACTACAACAATCACATCCAATAGATGAAATAGATAAATTAGGATTAGCATAAGGAAAAGTTGGCACAGAGTTAGGAGGAGGATGACAATCACCTTTTAAATTCCGTAAACATTTACAAAGACCACAATAGGAAGTGAAAACCTCCATTTCAACACATTGAATGTAACCAAATTTTTTGGGGCCTAGCCACAATCTATCAGGATGCTTTTTAGTAATGTCAAGCTCAACTATAAGACACGCGCCACTGAGGGACATGAATCTATAGAAGTAGCATGATCAATTTTAAGAGGGAGACCAAACAACAAACCAAGAGCAGATGAATTTGTTGTGCTTGTTCATCTTCATTATTTAATTTTGGTCAAAATATTATTACTGTCATAACAACTTGTATCAAAGCTTTTATCACAAGATTTGTAATTTGATTATGACGGACGAGAATATCAAATTTGATATATTTGATGTCCAAAAATTTTTGAATTTTAGAAAATAAAAAAAATGTGTGTGTGTGAAAACTCCAACTGTTAGAAGCTAGGGATGAAATTTATTTGTTTAACCAGAAAGAATAGGAGATGATGAGTGAACAAGCTTTAGGGGTTATTCTCCTATCTCTTAGGATGAATGCCATCTTCAATATTCACAAAAAGATCACAATAATAGGCGTAATAAAGCCCCTTAATAATATATATTAAAGGCATATTCAACAAGTTACATACACAAACAAAATTATCAATCAGAGTATGTTAGAAAGAACTTCTATCATATATTTTATCATCGTTAAGATTTCATTTGTGATTACTTTCTTATTATTTTTAAAGCAAAATTTTTGTACAAAATTTCTAATTCAAAACAAAATTTATGCTACATAGCTGCTTTAAAAAACAATAAAAAATTTGTCCCAAATAAAATCTAAAATACAAGATAATAAGGGAACTGTGAAAGTAGATTATCTTCCATTTCAAATACGTACTGAATCTTAAAATAATAATCATCAATCAACTCTTTATAAAGCAAATCTCTAAATTGCTTAAATGGATGTTGATAATGTACTTAGAGTCTATTTGGTATAGTTTTTTGGCTGATTTGTTTTTCAGATAGTAATCATAATTTTGATTGGCTATTGCTTTTTCATTATTTTTCAAAAAAAAATTATAATGAAAATGTGTTTTCTGCAATTATAATAGTGAAATTATTTTCTCCACAATAATTTTACAATTAATTTTATAAAATAATGTAGACATCCCAAATAAACACTAAGTCTGACCTCTTACTAAAAAAAATTGACATAAATTCAATTGAGCCATGACATCTGCAAAACCCCGCAGCCAGATAAGCTCTATGCCTAACTTTCTGCAAAAAACCAAAACAGCAAAGTCAACAACGTAGTTGAAGTTGTTTAGTTTCAATATATTTAAAAAAAAATTAAAGATAAATGCTGGCGTAGAAATTTTGACCGACGCTACGACCTCGTGATCAAATTTGTTGAAGTGGTTGCCTCTTGCCGACTGCTGTAATTTTTTTTTATTCAAATTTTCTTTGGGCATAATTTTTTAAAATTTGATTGATAAAAAAATAAAAATTAGCTGTATTGGTTCAATGAAGGATGATTATTAGCTAAATTTGATTCAAAAAACATTTGAGAATTCTAATAAAATTTGATTAAGATTATTGAGACCACATGCTAGCTTTAAAGATAGGATCCATGATCGAATATTCTTCGAACCCTAATCAAGCATTAATTACTCTTGTTCAAACATGTTCCGAATGATACATTCAAGTAAGTATAATTTTGAAACTAACTTTCTGCAAAAAACCAAAACAGCAAAGTCAACAACGTAGTTGAAGTTGTTTAGTTTCAATATATTTAAAAAAAAATTAAAGATAAATGCTGGCGTAGAAATTTTGACCGACGCTACGACCTCGTGATCAAATTTGTTGAAGTGGTTGCCTCTTGCCGACTGCTGTAATTTTTTTTTATTCAAATTTTCTTTGGGCATAATTTTTTAAAATTTGATTGATAAAAAAATAAAAATTAGCTGTATTGGTTCAATGAAGGATGATTATTAGCTAAATTTGATTCAAAAACATTTGAGAAGTCTAATAAAATTTGATTAAGATTGAGACCACATGCTTTAAAGATAGGATCCATGATCGAATATCTTCGAATACTAATCAAGCATTAATTACTCTTATTCAAAAATGCTTTAGCCATGTTCAAACATGTTCCGAATGATACATTCAAATATGATTAAACCTTCTTCTTCTACTACTATTTTTCAATCATAATTTTGAAATACAACAAGCTTCGAATAAGATTCCAATAATGCTAGATCTGTGTGTTGAACATATTCGATGATCAATTTCTTCCTTAACTAGTTACTAAAAACATAAATTAATACACATAAAATATGAATTAAAGTCACCTAATTTATCATTACACAGAAGAACAAAAAAGTAGCATATATATTTAATGCATGCAGTCATAATGTTTTTTATGTATAGATATATTACTCTCATCTCTGCTTTATTAAAAGATAGTGTATGCGTCAAAACAAGCAACATGCATGTTGGATAAGAATAAATAAGTGCATATATGGTTCCATAACTTCAATGGCTAACATGATAAGGTCGGCCTCCCTCTACCTGCTCAATTTTATTCTATGGAACCACACGAATGGAGAGGACTAGCTTGTCTGCTGCAATTCAATTTGAACTGTTTGTTTGATATGGAGATGGGGGGCAATGAAGTGACATTGGCTCATCTCTTGTGGAAATCTTGCCCTACCACTGACCCAACATCTCTTTTTTGTTTATGTATTGGATAATTTTGTCTATGCAAGTTCAATTTTCAATACTAACTGTTGTGTCTAAGTTCGGTTTTTTTAAAAAGAAAATTCAGTAGGACACTTCCAAATGTCTGCGAAGATTTCATTCTCTCTTCATTAGATTTTGTTAATTTTGAATACAAATGAGTAAATTTGATTAGTAGCAATTGGTCCTCAGTGAATAAGTGATGTGTTTATACGTTCAGCATGTGATTTGATTTGTAATTATGACAGTTATAGCTTCTTTAATTTTGTGAATTAAATTGTCATTAATATTACCTTGAAATCTGTTGCACACAGATTTCACTCTTGCCTCTCTCTTGGGAGAGACTATTACGTGCGGAGTCTGGACATAGAGAACTGTTCGGTTTTGTGACCGTGAATAGTAAAATAGCCCGGGTGAACAGTAAAAGTGCAGTAGTGAGTAATAGCTGGCTAACTGAGATTTATTATTCATGGTCACAAAATCTAACGGTTCTCTATGTCCGGATTCCGCATGTAATAATCTCTTTCTTTCATGGCATGCTTTTAACTATTAGTATGAGGTACATGATCTATTGCGTGTGCAAAGAACTGGGAGATATTATTCACTATTTGGGGGAAAAATGAGTACAAGAATGTCTAATTATGAGTACAATTAGGGCATCTCTCAAAAGAGCGTGTTAGGCCTTTGATTATTATACTTAATGTTTATGTGTTCTTAGATGATTATAGATGTTCCTTCAGAGGCTTGATTATTCATATTTGTGCGCACATTGTAGTGTCTGTCTTGGAAGGTAAACTAAAGTTTCATTAAATATTTGTAACATGCGTCAGGATCATACTATATGTAACATCTTCATTGTTGGATTTGCAATATTACTAATTAGTATTCAAGATCATTTAGTTTAAAAATTAAGGTTCTCCCAATAGGATTTCTAATGGTGAATGTTATCATGTGTGATTCAATATTCTCGAAAGGATAATCAAGAGCACTCTCGAGAATATTTGTCACAAAGTTAAAATAACATGGCACTTATGTGTCATCTTATATTAACATGTACGTGCAGGCTAGGGCTAAAACACTTTATGATACTTATTGAAATTTCAATGATAATGTCACAATCATAAGTCTTTGTTTAGAATTGCACTTTATTCATAGCTTGTTATTACATTGTAATTAATCACATGTTATCATATGCATCTACAACATTAAAAATGGATGTACCTCTATATTGACTTTATTAATTGCTTAACAAGCATTCTATCTAATAATTTGAAGACGATGGACCACCCTTACACCAACTTTTAATAAATAATAAATTTTGTTAGACTAATTAGTTATGCCTCATGATTTTTTCACTCTAAATAGTTTTCACATAAAAAATCTAATATATAGATATATGTATGTATATGATATTAATAAAATTCATATAATTGGGCTAAATTAAATCCTCACTCCATTGAGCATTGGCTATATTTCCTACACATAACAAATAACTATACCATAAAAAGAAATATTCCAAATATTATATAATATAGAGTAATATATTGAATATGTATTGACTTAATAAATTAATCTTTTTATTAATTAATTCTACTATTTTTATAATCACATTAAAAACAATTGTATCCAAATTCATTATATGACTAACTATTCTAAACATTATATATAATCATATTCATACTTTTGACTTTATAATTTAAGTTAATGAATTAAAAAAATTATGAAGAGTCATAATTAAGACCTTAATTTGATAAAATTCTAATACATATTATTCAAAATCTTAAAGATACACAAGACAAGCATATCAATGGCGAGAAATATTTTCCACCTTTGGCTCACTTATCCGCACAATTAGGCTTTATGAATTATAATTAAGAGAGAGATTGTTTGTTCCATTAACCAAAACCACTCCCCACCCACTGAGCCAACACCTAAAAGGCACGGCAACCTTTCTTTCCATATAAAATCCACACGCAAACGTAAGCCATCTTCTTCTTCATCTCTCTCTCTCTCTCTCTCTGTCTCTCTCTACCTCTACCTCCCCCCCTTTTAATATCTCTCCACCTTCCTCCATGCCAACTTTCTCTTCTTCATCTATCCATCTCCTCTCAAACTTCGGCAGAAGAAGAGCTGAAGAGAGCATGCGGCCTCAGCCGGAGCCAAACAACGCTAATTATATTTCTCCCCCCAATGGCTCCACAAGGAAGAAGATCAAGGATCAAAAGGTTGTGATACGGTACACGGAGTGCAGGAAAAACCATGCAGCTAGCATGGGCGGCTACGCCGTCGACGGCTGCAGGGAGTTCATGGCCTCCGGCGACGATGGAACCGCCTCCGCCCTCCTCTGCGCCGCTTGCAACTGCCACCGGAGCTTCCACAAGCGCGAGGTCGAGCTCGACCAGCCTCCACTCTGCGACTGCTCCTCCACCTCCACCTCTACCTCTGAGGTGGAAAATTCTTAGCTGCGCGGCCGTTATTCAAAGTGTAACAAAGAGAAGGAAGTTATAGAAGAAATTGATGAGGGGAGAGTTATGAGTGAATTCTACTATCATATTTTTCTCTCTTTTATATTTTTCAATTGATGTCTTGTTACGCGCATAAAGCATATTCTGTGTGAAATATATATTTACTCTCTTTCTTGATCTCCTTCCTCGTCCATAGTTAATAAATCTATGCCAAAAAAAAAAAAAAAAGTTTGATTTCTGCCATTGATAATTCTATGGAGTTTTACAGCTCGGTTCTGTTAATCCTTCTTGTGAAGATTGTAAGTGTCTGTGCTTTGACCGTAGAGGAAGAAATAGATTTATTGAGAAATGATAGATTGCTCATCACTTATAGAGTATAAAGGAGCTAAGCATTAGCCACCATTGATTTGAGGCCGTGCTTAATTAATTAATCGGGTTTAAGTTCGGACATAATTTGAGTGATTATAAAAGAAATATTAAGAAATATATATATATATATATATGTGAGTATAAGATAAAATTTCAAATTTTTTAATATTTTATATTTAAATTCTTAAATTATTTAATTTTATATTTTAAAACTACTATAGAGAAAATATTAAAAATTTCTCAAAAAAAATATTAAAAAGACTGTCCCAAACATAACCTAATTTTTAGCTGACAGACAGATATTATCTACAAGGAAAGTAGGCAGGCAGAGATGTACTTCTTAGTCAACTATAAATAACTTTGCAATCATATTCAAATTTTACCTCAATTTTACATTTGAGTCCCCCATTTTTTACAAATTCAAAAAACATTTACAGCTTGACATAAATATTTAAGATAAAAACAAGACATTCCCGAACTAAATGTCTTACAAAGTGGTGAATGTCTTTTTTACCTTAATTTTTTAAAATTAAGCGTTATTTACAGATATAACAATTTTATTTGGGATTATTGAGTGCGTAAGCCCAATGATAAAAATAGAAATTTATTATTATTATCATTATTATTATTATTTATTGAAATCTCATTATAAATGTGCAAAAAATGATAATTTATATGAAAACATCATGTTAGAATATCTAAATGCAAAATATATTTAGGTAAAATTGAAAACTCTTAAATTTATTCTAAAATTAGTGCAATTCAAGATATTAAATATAATATTCATTTTAATATAAATTCAAAAGCTTTAAATTTTATTCTGATATTTTTTTACATTAGAATATATTGAAATTTTTTTTTCTTTATAATTAACTTAACACTGGTGTATTTAAGATGCTTTATATTATATATAATAATAAATAATTTACTTTATTTTATGTTAAAAAAATAGATATTTTTATTTATATGTAACCAAATAGCCCATAAAGATTGACAAGTTTCATTGGTGTTCATTTTATTCAATGCCTTGTTACTTGTTCAAGTGAACCACCATGTGAATTGAATGTGCATTATTGAGCTTTCTAGTTTTGCATAATTGAATACCTAAAGTGGTTGACTGGTATTATTTCTTATATCTAAAATGGAGGTAAGATTTAAATTATTTTATGTCAAAAATAATTTTATGCTGACTTGATTTAATTTGTGTATGCTTATAGTCAAAAAAATAAGAAGCGTGTTCTGAAAAATAACTCTCAAGGAAAAAAAAAATATTATGATGCTTAAAGAATGAGCTAAATAAGAGAAATGACTTAAAGTAGCTTAAAAGAGAGAATAAAATGTTGTGAAAGTAGGTTCTTTGTCTCCCCCTTGGAGAATTTAATTCAAAAGTGTTACACAAAAAAGCTTTTGTATCTTGATAATTTGAGAGCATATTGATTTTTTAGTCTATTTGATGTAGAGAATTTAGACATTATGTTCTTAAAATCCATACCTTGATTAATGTTATTAGTGATTTGATTAGATCTATTGTATTATATTATTAGCTTTTCGATTCATGTTGCATAAAGATATTTTGTTTAACTGAATCAAAAATAATTGGGATGAATCTTAATTTAACTCGATAGTGTAAAAACTTTTTATTTTGGGAAATTTTGGGACCATAGCCCATATTATAAACTATGAAGGAAAGAAAACATAATTACATGTATAAAAGAAAAACTAGCAACAAACCAAAATAATGAGGTAGTTGCGGTAAAAGAGAGCCTGAAACTAAAAAACAGGAAAAGAAAAAAGCTAAAATAGTTACAAGAGCTGAGATGACTCAGAATGTTCAACAAAATCGAGACCTCCAGCACATAGAGAGCATCAAATTCTCCTGGTTGCCGAGAGATACCGTCCAAGGAGAAGCTGGGTAGCACCAAAACTTATCATTGTCCGTCCAAAAGATGCTCGGCCAGCCTTCAAGAAGAATCAGAAAACCTTGGTTGCCAGAGAACTAAGGTCCTGTGAGAAAAACAGCCAGAACCAAAACCAAAACCAAAGCGACTAGGGAGAGTCCAGCCAAAAACTCCAACTCGCACATCAGTGAAGCATATGAAGGAAAAGATGAGAATCCTTCCATTTTGTAGATTTAAGAAGCACTACCTTTTTAATTTTCCAAACAATCGTGGAGGAGCAATCAAAAGAATTCCCAAAAATTATATCGTTCCGGCCGGACCCTCTAGATTAGTAGATAGCATCGTAGCACATAAGTAAGTGGAGGTTTCTCAGCTGCTTGTTTAAGTCCAAATCATTGATATAAGAGAACATTTGATAGAGGTTAGGTCGGAGAAGTAAGTCAGTAAAGTGTGGGAATATTTTTTTCACAAAACCAAAAGTAAAATCACATCGGAAATATATGTGCGATTGAGTTTCCATAGAGGAAGAGCAGAAAGAGCATTTGGGAGGAGTCGGGATCCCTCTAATATTCAGAGCTTATGCAATTTTTAGACCATTTCTAAAAGCGAGCCAAGCAAATGCTGAGAAGTGGAGAACGTATCGCTTGTGCCAAATAAAATCCCAGTTAACTTTATCACAATCATCATAATAATGAATAATAAAATTTCTAAAAGCTGGTTTCTCAGAGTCCTGGAGCCAATTACAAACCCAACCATCCTTGTGAATAGGAATAGAGGAAATTTCAGTGGCAATGGGAGGGGGCATATAAGCAGGGACAGTCTAGCTGCCATTTGTAATAAGGAATTTGACCAGATAAAGGGATAAATCCTGCCTTAAGAATTCAAAGGAGCGCTCAGGCAGGATTTCATATAGTTGTTTACCATTGTACCAGGGATCCCAAAGGAGGGATAGGGAAGAATCACTCAAAATTTTGAAATTAAAGCAGGCCTGTAATTGGACGACAACACCACATAACAATTTCCAATACATAGAGGTGCGGGAATGAGGCACCAAAAGGAGATGTACTTGGCTCTCCACTAGCTAAATAAAGGACTAGCAGTGTTAAAATATCTCCATATTAAAGTCCCGCTAAATGCATAGTAAAGGGTATTAATGGCAAGGATCCCAATGCCACCAAATTGCTTCGGTTTACAGGTATCTTTCCAAGCCACCATATGAAGTTTCCTCTTAGCAATATCACCGTGATATATGAATCTAGAGCAGATTCTATCAATAATTTTACAGTAGTTTTTTGGTATGATGGATCTTCTTATCCAATAAGCCAACTCAGAAATTGGATTCTCCCAGCAAATGAAAGGAACTTTGCTTTCCAGCCATCTAAGGAGCTATACAATTTTTTGCAATAAAGGTTGGAAATCGAAATTGCGGAGCTTTCTAGTGAAAATCGGAAGTACAAGATATTTAAAAGGGCTTTGGGATATAAGAATATTCAGAATACTACCAATATCAGAATCTACTGAGACATTCTTAGAGAAAATGACAGTGTTTTTATCATAATTAACCCGCAGGCCCGAGGCATCACCAAAATGTTATAACATATTTTTGAGAGCATGAACATTATCAGTAATAGTATTACCAAACACTAACAGATCATCTGCATAGAGTAAGTGTGATATAGAGAAATTCCCAATGTTAATCCCTTCGAAGTGCTTGGTAGCGGTTACTTCCTCAAAAAGAGAGGAAATGCCATCCATAGCAATACTAAAGAGATAAGGTGAAAGAGGGCATCCTTGTCTAAGGCCGGAGGAAGAGTTAAAGAAGCCTTCCAATGCTCCATTAATGGAGATAGAAAAATCCACATCAATAATACAACCTTTGACCCAAGCAATGAAGGTTACATGAAACCCTTTGTCAGACATATGATTAAGAATAAAGTCTCTAGAGACCGAGTAAAGACTTTGTGAATGTCAAATTTAGCACAAAGAAATTTGTTCCTGTGTTTATGATTAAAATCTCCCAGAAGCTCATAGGTTAAAATAATGTTGTCCACAATGTAAGCAGGATCATGGAACTACAAATCTTCATATTTAGGTCTATTTAGGGTAGGTTTCTAGCTGATTTTTTTTTTTCATACAAAAATTATAATTTCGTTCGGTTACTGTTTTCATTCTATTCTCACAATTTTTTAGAAACTTTTAGTTATTAAAAGTTAATTTCTGTGTGCGTAACAAAAAAGTTATTTTCTCCATAGTAACACAACTAACTTTATAAGAAAATAAGCAACCAACTTCATTATTAAGCAAACCCTTTGAATTTTTTTTAAAGAAAAAATAAGGCCATAAATTCAAGATCAAACTATGTGATTTTGTGCTTGATATAAAAATAATAATTATTATTTTATAATTTATTGAGCACAATTTTTTAATTCAAATGTTGATACATTGCCAAGAAACCTTATCTCATTCAACCATTAGTAAAGAGAGATACTACTAAAGACAAGAATAAAAAAAAATTGTCTCATACATCTTATCTCATTTAACCATATTTAACTAAGACTTAAATCAGATATATCTTTAATTAATTATCAATATTAAATTAAAATTTCAATCATTTAAAAACATAAATGAATTCTATATGAGATGTATGGGATTAGTCTCCATCTTCCAAAAAAATAATAGTTTAACTGATCAAGTATTAATTTTCTCAGTCTATTTTTAATCACCTAATTAGACTTCTATTCAAATTAATCGGCAGCACATCATTGCAACCTTATCGTTACAAACAAGACCTAAATAATCCTCAAATTTTATATTTTATTATAATTATTTAATCTAATGCTTAATATTTTGTATGAGATGAAATCCACATCTACATCATATCCTATTATAAATTAAAAATGCATTTCTTTATCAAAATTTTAAAAC